TACAAAAAATCAAGTGTTTAAAGATACTTTTTTAGAAATCAAGTCCATAGTTTGTATATTCAAAAATCAGGTATCATTTTAATATTTAAATAATATTATAATACTAATAATTCACACCAACCCTAATTCATTTTTTCTCTCACTACCCTCTCTCTCTCTCTCTTCCGTCTTTTCCCCTCATCCGCCCTATGTTCAGCAACGCAATGAAAGCGTTGAATTCTGGACCTGTTATGACTGCTCCGCTGCCGGCGGTGACGGCTGTGTCGCCTCAACCACTACCGGCCAACAATAATGTGGACTACTTGTTTGGATTGGAGAAAGGGGTTGGGATGGCGCCTCAGCTGCTGCAGAAGGTTGAGGTAGACGATTGTTTTAAAGAAAGGTCGATAGGGCCAGATCCAATTCAGCAGCACATTCAGGATCTGAACAGGCTGAGAATTGAAGAGCAGCAAGGAGTTTATGGAAGAAGAAATGATGAAAATCTCACCGGAGGATTTGTCAGAGGTGATTATTACAAGGTACTGGAGAAATTACCTCCTGTTTTCATTCCTAGTGGTCCTCCTGGATACTGGCAGGAGAAGCAGTTCACCGGAGGAGTTTTCCCGGCTAGCAATATCAATACAGAACAGCTAGTTTACACGATTCCAGCTCTTGTGGGTATGTACCATGCCCCGATGATGAGACCAGCTGGTCAGGGTTACTACATAGTTCAAAGGATTCCATCAGAGGTTCACCGGGATCAGCAAGTATCTTTAAACACCTGACCTTGAAATCAAGTGGCAGATCTATTGTTGGTGGTTGGCTGTTGATGGTGGCGGATCTGTTGTTGTTGGTGTTCAGTTTTCTTCCCGTGGCTGGTTAGTTTGTGTTGGTCGATCTGTGACCTGTGACCAAGCGGCGGTAGTATGGGATCAAATGTTCGGTAATCTGTGACCAAATGTTTGGTAATATCTGTGATCAATTACTCAACCGTGACCTAAAAATTTAATAATACGTAACTCAAAAATAATCTGTGATCAACTAATCTAAAAATCTGTGACCTCGAAATAATCTGATATGTGACCTTGAAATAATCTGGGATAAAAAAATTTGACGATATGTGACCAGTAAATAAATCTGTAACTTAAAATTATGAATATATGACAATTAATCACAAAAAGTGACTTTATTATCTTTATTTAATAAATATTATAATTAATTAAATAAATACCTGATTTTTGAATTTTTAAATTATNATATCTTTAATTAATTAAATCCATACCTGATTTTTGAATTTGCAAACTATTTACCTTACTTTTGAATTGTGGTAAAGAATACACCTTAGATATGAATTTTTCCCGGAAAAAAATTTATTGCATCCTTTTACCAAGCCATCCGTGGTTAGTCCATTTCCTTGCCCTACAAAGAGCTCTCAAAAACTCTTTTTGTTGCATCATTGTCATGATAGTTTGCTGGATCAGCAAGTTGATTCGATGACAAGTGTGTCATCTCTTCTCCAAGAATCGCTCCATCTCCCATGGTATCATGAACATTCAATTACCTCCTTGCTGACATATCTCGACAAAGATTGTTGTCTGGCTCTCATATCTGACGAATCATAAGATGTTTGGGTTGTGGATTCAAAATCACTACCATATATTAATATGCGATAGAATAAAAACACTGAATGGATGTCCATGGGTAGCAACCGAAATTATAAATATGTAGTTATTCTAATTAAACACAGATATTGATACGTTCTTTAAACCTCTTGCAATCAACACAAATTTGTACCTTCAAGTCTTTTTTGATGTTTTCAAGAACTCCGAAATTACTACAATCTTTCTCGCTATTTTTCTAGTGTGGACAATAAGGAATAAATATCTTCAAGTTAATAATATGTTGGTTTTTTCAATATTTAATAAACATTTTCCCTCTGATTGCAGATGGTGCCTCTGTCCCCCTCTCACGTAGCTGAAGCCTGTTGGTGTTTCCCCATCATTGAGATTGAATTTTTTGTTTTTGAAAATTTACAGTTGCAGTCCTTAAAGAATTGATAATGGTGAAGTTGGTGTTGACCTATGGTTGATTTTATATTTTGATTATAACAAACAAAGTATTTTGTTATCTAACATTTATATTCGAATCTTCATTGTTACATGTTGCGAACTTGATGGAAATCGAGCATTCACAACCAAGCTTGGAAATCGAGCATTCTAAATCGGGTACTCACGAACAAAACAATTGGAGACAAATCAAGCACTTGCGCCAAAGTCAACATCGAGCAACAAATCATGCACTCGCACCACTCAATCGAAGATATTAGAACTATATCTTTGAACTCACTTGTAAAGGTAAAATACTTTAATCCTTAGCAATAACTCATTAAAAGCTTAAGTGACAATCTTTTATGCACGATAAAAGTTAACTTCGTAAAATCGTTTGCACAAAAATTATTTTTAAAGGTAAGCATTTCAACTTAATTTTCAATCCATTAGCATCACGTACCTTGGAAATTCTAAAGCCTACCTTGTTAGAAAATCAAAACAGACAAACCGGAGGTGAGTTGTGTACTCTGTCCATCTGGATGTCCAGATGGTGAACCGAATGTCCGGTTCATCTCCAACGGTCAGATTTTTTACCATTCTGATTTCTGACGAACTAACTGCTATTCAGCCGTCCGATAATGTTCCGGACGTCCGGATGATTGTTTCGTTAGACAGAAAAATTTGCTTACCCGCCATTCATAAATACAACAAAAGAGCATTCAAGTGAGATTCTTTTGAGCAAAATTGTGTTGATTTCTCATATAAATTATTATTATCAAATCATTTTAGATTGGAAACACTTTTGATCCAATTAACTTTTAAAATCAATCTACACATCAAAGTTTTTCTTACCTAAGACCCGAGTTTCATTCATTGCTATTTATTAAAGTGCTAGCCTATATCTTTATTGGTACTTAATTGTGACCATATCATTTATTAAGAGAGAAATTTCAATTTGTAAAATCAATTTCTTTAAACTTGTGGGTCATGTTGAGGTCCCTTAAAGCTCAACGTTGTAAAAGGATCGGTACTATTTGTTCTTAAGTCACAGAAAGTTTTGTAAAGGTTTGGATTACATCACAAGTTAATCAACATAGTGAAATTGACCTTACTCGTGCTAGAGAGCTTGGTAACGAAAGACGTAGATCATTGCGTTGGATCGAATCTTCATAATACTTGATTATAGATTAATTTTTTGGAAAAGTTTCAAAAACCAATTCATCTCCCTCTTGGTTAGCTATTCTTGGGCAATCAATTGGTATCAAAGTAAGGTGCTCATTTTAAAATTAAGACTTTACAATCTCGAGCGATGGATAACCATAACAACCTTCAAAATCTCGTGGGGCATTCCACAAATTGACTTCCCTTCTTTGATGGTACACATTATAATTATTGGAAATTTAGAATGATGATTTACATTCAATCAATAGATTATAATATTTGAGAAGTCATCGAATATGATCCTTATGTGCCCACCAAGATTATTAAAATTGATGGAAAACCCAATCAATCTGTTCCTAAACTTAGAGAGGAATATGA